AACATAACATAACAGAACAGAACAGAACATAACAGAACAGAACAGAACATAACATAACATAACATAACAGAACAGAACAGAACAGAACATGACATGACATGACATAACAGAACATAACATAACATAACATAACATATCATAACATAACACAACATAGCATAACATATCATAACATAGCATAGCATAACATAACATAGCATAACATAACACAACACAACACAACACAACACAACACAACATAACATAACATAACATAACATAACATAACATAACATAACATGACATAACATAGCATAGCATAGCATAACATAACATAACAGAACAGAACAGAACAGAACAGGACACAAAATGACATGACATTATTCTTGGTGGCTGTTCTTTAGTGTAGTGGCAGCCGGTAACTCGGAAATCGCCTTGCCCTTCGCCCTGACCTGCTCCCGTACACGGCTTCAAACACATTCCCGCCTTGAAGCCTTGTTAAACCAAGACTTCTAGCCGGAAACTAGAAAGTCCTGAATCCGGTGAAAGATTTTGGGGTAGCGAATTTGGGTGGGTTTCTAAACAACTCCCTAACCCTCCAGGTACCTACTATATAGGGCCCTAGGGGCTCTAGCACCCTTTTTAGTAGGTACCTGGGGGGTTAGGGACTGTCACACAAAAGGAATGGGGGATTGGTCGAAGTTGGAGGCCGGCCCCGCCTTGCTTAAAACTGATTCTTGGCTGTTTTCGGTCTGTGCTTAATACAAGTAGTATAGTATAACTAGTAATAGTACTAGAAATCGTACTAATGATGGTAATAGCAGTACCAGAAGCAGGAGCAGTAGTAGTAGTAGTAGTAGTAGTAGTAGTAGTAGTGGTAGTGGTAGTGGTAGTGGTAGTAGTAGTAGTAGTAGTAGCAGTAGCAGTAGCAGTAGCAGTAGCTGAGCAGCAGTAGTAGTACCAAACAGGAGCAGGAGCAGGACCAGGACCTTCTTGCGCTACTCATCGCCCTTGTGCCGTGCTGGTTTTGGAGCAGGTCCTAAACCTGTGTGCGCTGTTGAGTCTACGGTCAAGAGGCTGGTGTTTACGACTATACAAAATATAGCAACTGTCCCGATGCCAGGCCTCAACTGGCACCTGCAATGAATCAGCCACGGCCTGGACAGGGATTTACGAAAGTTCAAGCCCGCGGGGGTGAGGAGCCTAGCCCTTAAAAACAGTGGTGCTAGCTCCTCGAAGTACAGTGGTAACACTACAGAGAAACAACAAGAAGAAGCAGAAGACTAGACCTAATCATCTGAACTGAGAATTCTATGAGTCTGATCTCGGCCTGCTGCAGCGAACCTGCCAGCGCGCTGGCCTTGCACGACGAGACTGGGGTTCTGTAAGGAGTACCATAACAGGGCTTCTGAGGACGTGGATGCGATTCCCCCATGCACATCCTCTTGGAGACACTGTTGACGGATCCAGAAACTAGGCCCTCCAGCATTGGTCTCGTTGTTGACTTCAAGCACAACGTCAAAGCTGGCTGATTCCGCGGCTGGTGCCAGGCAAACCTTGCACGGCAGTGATCGTAAGGAACCCCGGCTGAGAAAGGAAGGGGACACGGTTTGGGTATTGGCAAACCTCGGCACAGGCTTCTTATCTGTCCCATCCGCCTCTATAAAGCGTCCCCCTAGCCTCGAGGTCGCATGTCGAGATGTTGCTGGGTCGAGACGTCTGGCAGTCCTCGCAAAGACAAGTAGCGCGCAAACCCTGCCTCTCTGAGCAAGCATAGATACAACTCGCGATGAGAAGAATCGAAACGCGTTTGAAACGCGTGTGTGGAACATCCCAACCCTGAAAGAACTAAAGTGTCAGATTAGCAATACTTCTGCATGCCGACGTTTCACAGCCACCATCCCACATCGGCGCGAGAAGCGGCTTGTTGATTTGGGATTAATTATTCGCCTCGGCCCCGGCCGAAGCGGTCAGAGGTTCCCACAGGGATTCAGATTCCCTGTTTGCCCGCCTCTTAATCCCCTCCCCCATGACCTACCCGCCCCTTAACGAAGCCCGCCATTTTGGGTTGGCAAGCCCTACGTCCAGAGACCTAAACCCAAAACCCAAAACCCTTGATTCCCCATTCCGACCTGATTGTTGCTTTCCGAAGCGATGCACCTGCTTCAAGTACAGCCGCGACGATTCGGACGACGCGAGGCGTTTAACAGTTAGCAATAGCAAGAAGTAATGATGACAACAACAAGTAGTATGATTATGATTACGGTTATTTTTATTGCTACTAGTATTCGTATCATACCTCTACTTCTACTTGTACGTATAATTATGCGTATACTTATATACTTGTACTCAGACTTACATGTTTATTCTTGTTATTTTGATCCTAAGCGAAAAAACAATAAGTGAAAAAAGCAGTTCACAGCAATATAGTAACAAATGTAGTGTTGCAATAGGGCTCTAAACCCTAAACCCTCAACCCTAAACCCTAAACCCTCTAGATTGTCCTCGTCTTGGCCGCTTTGGCAGTAAACGGCCCGCACACGCTGACCGCATCCGTCACCGTCGCAGGAAGACCAGTCGCCGACCTACGGAGTTGAGATTTTGGGAGTTTGGGGTTTAGGGCTTAGGGTTTAGAGTTTAGGGCTTAGGGTTTAAGGTATAGGGTTTCGGGTTTAGGGCCTAGGGTTTCGGCTAAAGGGTTTAGGGTTTAGGTAGCTCTCTAAATTAGGGTCCCTTTTCTGAAACAACAGGAGGCGGCAACCTTAGGAAAAAGATCCTAAAAGAGATCCTAGTTTAGAGAAGTAGGGTTTACGGCTTCGGGGTTCAGGGTTTAGACTTTTGGGTTTGCAATTCCATCATTGCCAGTTTTCTTTACGAGCAGCAGTTAGAATTTGTACTCGTCGTCTTCGTCGTGGTGGTGCTGGTAGCATGAGAGGTTGCACTTAATTTCGCTATCAAGTTCTCCGGTGTACATCTCCAATAACGTATTTCGGCTGCTATACTGCGAGATTCCGACTCCTGCGTAGGAGCCTTGGCCGCTGCTGGCCGGATAAGAACACAAGGCCCCGAAGTTGCCACGAATGGCACTGGAGTTTTGCGCAGAGACCGTTCGTTCAACTGCTTTGTGCAGACGGTTTAGGGTTTAGGGTTTAGGGTCTAGGGTTTAGGGAAAACGCGTGATATAATTGCTGATTCCCATGGTTACGGCCAACTGCTAGTGGTTGACTCCATGAAGAGGTTTAGGGTCTGGGTTTAGCGAATGCCTGGTTCCTTCCAGAAAAGTCGGGTACACCCAGAAGCGGGGACACCTCGATGCAGACACTGAGCCTCTTCCACTTTGAGACTTAGTAGCAATAATAATCATAATCGTAACAAAAATAAAAATAATAACAAAGAGAATAATGCTTCGAATACTAATACTAACAACTATACTAACAATACTGACAATGCTGAGAATACTAACAATACAGATCATACTAAGAATATTAATAATACTACTGATACTAATAATACAAATAGTACTAAGAATACTAATAATCCGAATCATAATAATCCTGTCGACATCTGACTACGGCTGACTTCCCGATTCTTCACGGCTTTGCATTCACTCTCTAATCCTCACGACCAAAACAACTTGCAGCATGCCGGTTCGAAATGCTGTTCGAGGGCGGCTTCGGCCCTGCTGCTCGGGGTTTAGGGCTTAGGGTTTAGGGTTCAGAGTTTAGGGTTCAGGGATGGGTTTAGGGTTTAGGATTTAGGGTTTAGGGTTTGGGGTTTAGGGTTTAGGGCTTAGGGGTTTCCTGCTGCTTCGTTCAGTGTCCCCAGGTCCGCGGCCTGCCACACACATCCGCTGGTGTCGAGGCAAGCCTCGTAGCTGGCGGGCGATTCGCCGCAGTCCTGGCTTCGGGAACCAGGGCTCAGGACGTAGGCTTGGTAACTGGGGTTGAGGGCCTGAGCTGTTTGTGGGTTAGGGCGCGGTTCGAAGGATTGTGCGCAGTGGCTGGACAAAGTTCCTGACGCGAAGGCGAAAAAAAGTAGGAAGCCGAAAATCTGACTGCTGTCCTGGGCTGATCCTGTCGGGCAATACCTGCGAGTGTCGACATGTTCATAGATGGTGTTGGGGCATGCGAGACCTAAAGCACAATGTGCTCAAGAATTCTATTTGCGGAGACGACACGAATATGAGATATAAAGAATGCCCCGAAAAGACCTTTGCATTGTTTACGGGCTCGGTTCCTGACATGCGTCATTACCTGAAGAACCATTAATATGACACCCCTTATCTCCCCCTGGGGAAGTTTCCAGACTCCTGATTCGGATTTGCCTCGCCTCGGGAATCCAATCCCTTGCTAAGATTTCATGATCCGTTTCAAACGCGGCCAACACATCCCACAAAGACACCTTCTAGAAGACCTTATGGAAGTAACCCGAATAGAAACCCCTGTGGTAACCCTTAACCTTAACCCTTGAAATCAATTGATTTTCAAAATTATTGACTTTTTTCAATGTTTCAAAATGAACAGGTAAAACTACTGAAAAAAACCGAGAATCTAGTCAGAAGGTTTTGATTGGAGCGGAGCATACCTACATTCGGGCTTGTGTTGCTCATAACCCTGCTCACAATCTGCTCACTGAACCACTATTCCCCTCTGAAGACTAAATCTTAGGTATCTGAAGATCATGGGACGACAGAAGTACCCCCAGTGTGACCACAAAGAAAGATAACAGAGAAGAAGGAGAGTAGGGTGTAGTTGGGTTTAGCAGGGTCGAATAGCGCATAGTAGGCTGTCGTAGGGACCACCAATACTACCCAATCAGATCGTGTGGCATCAAATCACGCTAATCATCTCAGCTTGGGCGTCGGCAATGTCCGGCTTCGAACACCACTGCCACAGCCTCGGTTTGTGCCGTCTGGCTGCATTTCTGTCATATGTATGTATGTATGTATGTATGTATGTATGTATGTATGTATGTATCAATCTATGTATGTATGTATGTATGTATGTATGTATGTATGTATGAGGTAGGTATGTATATATATATAGAGAGAGAGAGAAAGATAGATAGATGGATAGATAGATGGACAGATAGATGGACAGATAGATAGATAGATAGATAGATAGATAGAGAGATAGAGAGATAGAGAGATAGGTAGGTTGATAAAGGATAGATAGATAGATACATGGATAAATAAATAAACAAACAGATAGACAAATAGATAAAAAGATAGACAGATAGATAGATAGACAGGCAGAAAGGCAGGTAGATCGATAGATAGGTAGATAGATAGATAGATAGATAGACAGACAAAAAGATAGATGAACGGATAGACAGAAAAGAGAGGTAGATAAATAGATAGATAGATAGACAGATAGATAGACAAACCTATAGACAGAAAGATAGATAGATAGATAGATAGATAGATAGATAGGTAGATGGATAGATGAATAAATAGACAGACAGATAGATAGGTAGGTAGATAGGTAGATAAGTAGATAGGTAGATAGGAAGATACATAGATAGATAGATAGATAGATAGATAGATGCATGGATGGATGGATGGATGGATAGGTAAATGGATACATAGATAGACAGGTCGAATAGATAGATGAATAGATAGATCAGGCAGATAGAAAGGTAGAAAGATAAACAGGTAGGCAGAGACAGAGAGATAGATAGATAGATAGATAGGTAGGTAGATAGATAAACAGAGAGAGAGAGAGAGATAGATAGGTAGATAACTAGATAGCTAGATAGCTAGATAGCTACATAGCTAGATAGATAGATAGCTGGATAGCTAGATAGCTAGATAGCTAGATAGCTAGATAGCTAGATAGCTAGCTAGCTAGCTAGCTAGCTAGCTAGCTAGCTAGCTAGCTAGCTAGCTAGCTAGCCAGCGAGAGAGAGAGAGAGAGAGAGTTAGATAGATAGCTAGATTGATAGCTAGATAGACAGATAGACAGATAGACAGACAGATAGGTAGATACTTATTTACCTGTGTTCAATATGACATCGATGTAAGTATACAAGTCAAACCTATTCAAATGTGTTTTTTATATAAAGCTCAGATGCTAAGCCTCATGAGCATGTTGCAGCTCTATAGACACGAACTGCACAAATTTCAAGGAGACCTGCTCCATAGAGCGTTGAACACAGTGGCCTGCTCTCTGCTGCCCACCAATGCCGCATCGCGCAGTATAGTATAGCACAGCAGATAGTATATAGTATACAGTATACAGTATAGAGTATAGAGTATATAGAGCATATCAAAAAATTGTAGTATGTAGCATACCAACACGGCACGCTGAAGTAGGTCATTTTGCACAGGTGCAGCCGAGAAGCTTGTGCTGCAGTTGCTCCACTCACCAGGTTGCCAAAAGCATCCGGTAGTATTCACCTGCTTTGACCAGGTACGGCACTAGATTTAGGGTTTAGGGATTTGAGGGAACATAGGGGGTAGGTAGGTACAGAAAAACGGGTCAGTATCAGTGCTGTACACCGTGTACACCGCATAACTTATTCCGTGAATTGCTGCTAAGTGCTCCAGATGTTCCGGGATTGTCACTCTGCTCGAAGAACTAGGTAAGGCGGAACTGCCACTGCTGAGCAGCTGGCGCAGCTTTGCACATGAGCTGGGCCATCACCCGGGCAGATGCCGGCCTCGAGATCGAAAGCGGTCGCTACTGGGGTGGATCGATGTTAAGACGACAACGATGGCAGCTGATTCTAGGGCTGTCCTGACAATAGATACCAGTAGAATGACATAGAATGACGCTAGCATGCCTTTTAATGTCATGTCTGCCTTTTCTTGAGGTGCGGACAACACAAGTCACAGTACGCTCCTGAAAGCCTGTGCCGCAAGATACCTGGCAAACAGGGAGCCAAGATTGCTCACACTAACAGTCGAGCCAGCACTGATACCCATGCACGCGTGCACACATGCTTGCTTCCCATGCACAGCAATCGATGACATGTGAACTGAATGCTTCCTCCCTTCCCATGGTCTCGGGTCGCAACATTGCACGTCGACCAATCTGAAGCCTCAGAAGCTTTTTCATAAATCCGTCCGGAGATCCGTGACAAGAAACTCTGGTCAAACTACAGATCTGGATTCGGCATATGACAGGTACAGTCACTGGGACAATGCCGGATGCAGAGCGAAGTCCAATTTGCTCTGAAGGTCCGGCCGTCCAGTTTCCTTAGGTGGCGCAATCACATAATGGCACGGGTACTGCAGCGCCGAGGGTGGGTAGGAGGAGGAGCAGGATTCGGAAGTATGCTTCACCGAGGAAGTTGCCCTCGTCGTCGTCGTAGTGATAGTCGCAGCCGTAGTCCAAATAACTATAATAACGAAGATGGGGCCCAACCCTCGCAATCTCATTCAACCCTCGCAATCGCATTGAAGCCTTGACAGTGCGATGTTTCCTGAGCCCCTGCAATTTTTCACGGCTCAGGCAGATAGAGACTGCCAAGGCCAACCAGGAGTCAGATGCAATGACATTCGGAAAAGCGTTGGTATGATGATTGGCACCACTTGCGCATGCCATGCAAGAAACAGTAGTGTAGAAGCAACAGCAAGAGAAAGAGGTCTCTTGAAAAAGAATCCCAAAACCCACAAATCTCAATACCACTCCCTCGAAACCCTAAACCCTAAACCCTAAACCCTAAACCCTAAACCCTAAACCCTAAACCCTAAACCCTAAACCCCTGACCCCTAAACCCCTGACCCCTAAACCCTAACTAAACCCTAACTAAACCCTAACTAAACCCTAACTAAACCCTAACTAAACCCTAACTAAACCCTAACTCAACCCTAACTAAACCCTAACTAAACCCTAACTAACCGAAGCATCGCAGCCCAGAAGCCGCAGCCTGAGGAGTCTTGGCAGGCCTCTGAGCTCGTGGGCTCGGGCTCTGAGCAATCCGCCTCAAGCGCTTTAGGGGTTTTGGGGTTTTGGGGGTTTTGGGGTTTTGGGGTTTTGGGGTTAAAGGGTTTAG